ATCTATCAGATTAAGAATGGAAGATATCACAAGTAAAATTTTGTAGTTTGCTGATTATCAAAGTATATTATTCAGCTTGTAGGTGTCAGCAGTGAAATATGTGGGTATACAAAACAGCTTGGAAGGAAGCTGAATTATCAATGGTTAGCACAGTCACTAATTCTACGTTAAATAATAACTATTATAGCTTCACAAACGTAGAAATGGTAAAAGAAATGTGTTTATAGGCACCCTAAATTCAAAGCCCGCTTCCCTAACCCCCGTTCTTGAATAATCACAGAGGAAGAAGGCTAACCAGTTACCTAGCAACAGCCACTTTCAAAACTTACTATGATTCCCCCCTGCAGAAAAGAGCAATGTGTGTTTCTAAGAAAGAATTTCTCTGGCAAATAATAGAGAAGAAATTTGGATACTGCAGAGTTTGGACTTAGACATTGGTTCAGATTTCAGTCTTGCCATGTATTAGCTTAACTTCTGCAAACATCAGTTTCTCCATCTGTAAAATGGAGGCAAAACTAGAACTTATAACATTATTATGAGGATGAAATGGCATAGTGCATCCGTGGCCCTTAGCAGAGGGCCTGGCAGGTAGGAAATTGTCAATAACCCTAACCATTTTTTGTTGCTGCCGCTTCTACTTTTGCCATTGCTATTAGAAATCTAAGCCTGGCTCATGAGTAACGAGTAATTAATATTTCAAAAGAAACCTCTGGAAGTACATAAATACAAAACTGAAAAGTGACTTTGACTCAGAAATCATCAAAACAGTCATTAATCAAAAGGACTATAATCAGCGTGGATACCAGCTGATCGCACTCTTAATGGCCAAAATCTGTTTCAAGGCTGTAAACGTCCACAACCGCACCCATTCTTTTAAGACCAGTACTGTGTATTTCGTTAGTATGATTTGTGATCTTGTACGTGGGCATAAGAACACCATCTTCCTAAATATCAACACTGACGCGCATACATGCTTTAGGTCAAAGCATGTCTCTCCTATGGCGCCATCACTCCTATATGGTGTTCGAAAATGTCCTTAAAACATCAAGTTTGTACTCTAGCTTATGGATGTTTTGCAATATATATGGAATTTTCTCTTTTCACCTGGGAGCTGGTATTGAGGACACTAGGCTTTAATGAAGAGAGGTTGTGTTTTCAACATTCGTCCTGGGTGTAAATATCCAGCTTGACTGCATTCTGTGACCTTGAGCGATCCACTTAACCTTCTGAGACTCAGTGTTTTCGGTGTAAAATGAAAATATAATGCTTTGCCCACAGGATTTTTGTTAGAATTAAATGCGCTTAGCTCATTCCTCTAAGACATAGGGAGCCCCAGGTGCATTTCCTCTTCTGCTCACCTCCATTTACTTCCGAAATTATCACACCCATTTCCATGGTTTATAAATCCACCTGTATGTGGGTAACCACCAATTTTACATCTCTAACCTGCCCTCTCAATTCCAGACTCATTTGTCTAACTGCCTATCCACCATGGCCACTTGGGAAACTAAGGGACATCTCACATTAACATGCCCACAGCAGCTTCCTAATCCATCATTCCTTCTGCCAACCTGTTCTTCCCAAAGACTTCATTTCAATGAATAGCACCTTTTCCCAATTTCGTACATTTTATGCCAAACATTTGTAAAATTTATTGCCTTCTCTTCATCTTCACTGCTACTCATGTAAATTAAGCTAAAATCTACTCAACTCCACTGTTTTTAAAAGCTGAAAAATACAAATTTTTAAATAAGTAAGAAAAGAAAAACAGCATGAATTTATTACCTCGTAATTTCTGTGGGTCAGGCATCTAGGCAGAGTTTAGCCAGGTCCTTTGCTGAGCTGAAATCAAGGTGTCAGCTGGGCCTGCAACCTCCACAGAAGCTCAGGGTCTTCATTCAGGCTGTTGAGAGAATTCAATTCGCTGTTTGAATTACTGAGGTGCCCATTTTATAGCTGACTATTGGCGTAAGGTCACTCTCAGCAACTAGAGGCTACCCCCAGATCCTTGCCGTGTGACCCCTTCCTTCGGCAACATGGAAGCTCACTTCTTTAGGCCAGCAGGAAAATCTCTTTTTTAAGGGCTCCCTTGAGTAAGTCAGGCCCACCCAAGATAATCTCCCTTTTGATTAACTCAGAGTCCATTTGTGGGAACCTCTGCAAAATCCTTTCACTTTAGCCATAAAAGAACATAATCCCAGGAATAAAATCTTGCCCTATTTACAAGTTCTGTCCACACAGAAGGAGAAAGGAATATACTAAGCATATATACCAGGGGCAGGATTCTTGGGGTTCATCTTGGAACTCTGCCTACCACACTTGACTTCCACTCTTGTTACGGTCAATCTTGACAATCCAGCTAACTAACATGTTTTATGAAATTCATAAATTTACATAGATTTTAAATTAGATCATGTCCCTAGCTTACTTACTATGTTCCAATTACTCCTAACTGCATTAGTATTAAAATCCAAATTCCTTCTGATGGCCTACAAGGTTATATATGATCTGACCCCTATTGGCTACTCCTTGGACTTTATTTCATGTGACTGTAAACTTAGCTCACTACCCACAGCCACACTGGTCTTCCAAACTCATTCCTACCCCAGGGCCTTTGTACTTGCTACTTCCTCTGTCTGGAATGCTATTTCCCAGTTATCTACATGACTGGCTCCTTCTTGCCATTTAGATCTCATCTCAACTATCTCTTTTGTTGGTCACACTATGTAAAATTTCTCCCTCCACCTAATAACTTTTTATCATATTATTCTGTTTTATTTTCTGATTCATTATATGCTTACCTGTTTGTTTATTGCCTGTGTTCTTCATTTAATATAAACTGTGAGAGCCTGGACTATGTCCATCTAATTCGCTACTACATCCCCAAAACTAGGAGACTATCCGGCACATGGTAGACACCCAAAACACAGTGTTGGGTGAAAGAAAATGATTCTATTAGAATTAAATGTACTTAACATAGTTTATGATAGAAGAAATCTGTATCTGCTTTAGGCAGGTACTTGCAGTCCCTTCACTTACAGGATATGAGGAAGTGGGAAAAGAACTACCACAGTGAAACTAACCCCGAGTATGCCACTCATTCCACTTTCATTCAAAATATTTACACCTGCATGGTGTTTACTTTCTTACTACTGAGTTAAAAAACAAAGACAAAACAAACAAAACAACCCCCAGAGTTCAGCTTTTTTAAGCTTTCATTTTTCTAAATGACCTATCCCTCCAGGCAAAAATTTTGAAAAGCTCCTCTCCGGTCAAATCTCACAGGACTCTCTGCAGTGGGTGGGGAGAACAATGCAGCCTGATTTCTAGGTATGAGCTACAGATGGTGAAAAATGAAATTGGGTTTGGGGCATTGTTTTGAACCTAATCCAAGCAGCATTTCTCAATGTCTTCAGGCTGAACAAAATAACATAGACCACTGACCTGTAATCCAAGTCTAACAGATGGGAGAAAAGCTTAAGCCTTTTCCCACTTATTTTATTTTCCAACTGAAAACAACATTTATTTTTAAGCAGGCAATTCTCAGTAAAACCTCATGGACATGGTAAAGCATTTTTTTCCATTCATCAATTCTCTGTATTCTATAGCAATTTTTACTTATCATTTGTCACTTTCTAATGGCATAAATATATAAGCTAATCCTAGGATCTCTTCAAAGTAGATGGAATCATCCTCAAGTTGCCAATAACTCTAGGACCCAGGGAGATCAGCTCAAAGAAATTGTAGACAACATTAGAAATCTGCAGGTTTGAAAGCTTAATTGTGTTTTTTTAAAAACAGCCTTTGCATTTGTTAGGAACCATTCTAAAATAGAAGGAGTGCTCTAAAATAAATAAATTTGGCTTATGTTGAGGCATGTAGCATGAATCTTCTCATTTATTTACATGATCTTTTTTAAGTGGCAAAATACACTTAAATTTTAAGTGGTACGATTTAAATAGAAAAAATATATATTGAAAATCTGTAATTTCTATAAAGTTCTCTATATTTTGTGATTTCAAAAATAATTTTAAAAAATGTTAACTGTTTTTATTACTTCTGTATTATATTCTGTACTTTTCCAATTTCTGACTCTGTGTCACTGCTTCATGAAGAAAATTTAAAGACAACTGTTTCTCAAATTTTCTTTTTTTTCCCACACAGTCATAAAATAGATAACTATATGAAATTTAGACTACATTTTGAAACAATGAATGTGAGGTTATGAAAGAAACTGTGCTTGTACCTGAACTTTTTTTGTTGCTACTGTCTTCTTCTTATTATGTGAGCTAAAAAGCTGAAAATAACTAGGAGAGAGAAAGGGAAAAGTTGATGTTTTCCACAGGACTTTTAATTATTTTTATCTGATTTATTCTGTTTGACTGAGCCCCAAAGCACTGTCTAATTCTAGGAAGAAAGGGCTAGAATATGTCGGTAAGATGGTTGCAGTTGCTCTGGGGCAGAAGAAACAGAGAGGGAAACAGCTTTGAGAGAACCCGGGTGGGGTCTGAGTCCCTTCCGAGTCTGGGATGTCAGCTCCCAAGACGAAATGGTAATGGACACATTCAGTTTTGTTAATTCAATTCTCATCTGTTCCCAAGTCTGCTTATTTGTCTTTCCTCACTCATATACTGACGATTTGAGTACGAATAACAAAACGCACACACCCATGCATACCCATTTCTTGTGCATTTCCATGAGTAGCAGGTACCGTGGTAGGTTCCTTCACAAACACTTCCTTATAGATTGAATAAAGGGAGCAAAAGTTATAACATGCCCACTCTTGTTTTTGTGGGAAGCAGCAATAATTATGCAGTTACAGACTCAAGAGGTGAGGAGTAAAACTAACTTCTGTATTTAATGGTGAATACCTCCCACATCTTCCTTCTTGGCTGGTGGCACAGGAAAGACGGGAAGTGCTGCTTCCCACTGACCATCAGAAAGGATTCCTCTTGTACTCCTTGTACTCCTTGTGAACACGTTTCCATATTTTCACACAGGCGCTACCCTGATTGTCATTGCATCAACTTTGGATCATGGTTTCTGATGTCCTTCCCGGCTGCTATTATTATTCTCCTCTTGTCATGGATTTGGCTTCAGTGGCTTTTCTTAGGATTCAAGTGAGTACATATTCCACGTTAATCAGATAAATAAAGGTGTCTGGGTTCCATGTTCTCAGCCCCTCATTCAGGGCTTCTACACCTATTTCACGAGTGCTGCATTTCTGCATTTCTCTTATCCACAAAACTGACACGTATGAACACATACATACATTAAGGACCCTCTAGAATATCACCTAACCATGTTGACTGTGGAAGAGAGTTTGTAGACAGAAATTCCATCTTGGTCTCCTTTGATCCCAACCCATTAAGACATTAATAGACCAGAAGGACATGAGAAGCTCATTATGGTGAGGACCCAGTCCAACCTGTTAAAGTGTTACTTTAAGACGTTTTGTCCCTCCTCTTGGTTTAATGTGGGGATTTCCTCAGGTTATCAAGTTACTTTAAACTGTAATATGCAGGGCTTCCTGCTTCATCCTAGTACCAACATTGATTTGCCCTTGAAAAACGAAAGAATATTGGATTGGGAACTGGGAGGCCAGGGACAAAGTTGTGGCTGCTCACGAGGCAGATGAGTAATCTTTGCAAGTCCTGATCCATTCTCAGTCTCAGTATCTTCAACTAAATACCATAGAATTTAACTGGAAGATCAGCAAGATCACTTTCAATGCTGTAATTCTAACACGGATGGGCCCCAGTTGAATACAGAGAAGTCAAGGTAGGAAACACGGATCAATCAAGAGCTGGAAAATGTCAAATATATGCATTCAAGGAGAATTTGCAAGTGTTTCTTTGGCTGGGACTGAAGTTGGTGGTTCATAAGTCCCAATGAGTTACATGACTTAAATGATAGCCAACACTTAAAATTATACAGGGCCCCACAGCAAAATCTAAAATGCTGCATCATAGATTCACCATATATAACAATACTCCAAAAGAAAGGAGAAAGGGCTGTATATCAAACCTTGAGTATTCTTTTTCCTAAAAAAACCCCCCAAAAATTCAACTTCATTTTCATAGGGTTTTATTTAAATAATTTCAAGGACCTATGAATGAAAAAACGTGTTATCCACCAAGCAGGGGAGACTGAAGTCAGCTTTTTGTACTTCCTTTGAACAGCAAAATACTGCAATCAGGTCGTATTCCCCCCCATGCCTGTGCCCAGATTTTCCAAGCTTAGTCATGTAAGGACTGATATTCTTTTCTCTCCATTCCTCTTCCTGGTTTTTCTCCAGAACTGCCACAATTTTGTTAGTAGTGGGGAGATGGTACTGATGAGTTTTTGAAAAATCTATTTGTCCAGATTGTGGGAGCAGTGTGAGGTTGTCCTCCTGCTGAAGCAAATGAGTGGAATGTCACCGCCTTCAGCAGGTGGGCATTAGTGGGGAGAGGCTAGCTGCATACTAAATGCCCTTTCCTGGAAATCCAAGCCTTTGGGGGTCGATTCAATCGTACAGGTGGCAAAGCAGAATGCAGGGGACAGGAATCCCAAACCAACAGAGAAAGCATCCGGTCTCAGACCCACAGCTGTTTTGTTCTTTTTTTGCTGCATATAATGACTTTATAAAATAAGTATGCAACACTTGTCATTATTCTGAAGTCGCCCACCGCTTAAAAAGGAGAAATCAAGAAGATAAAGGGCAGATGTACTGAAATGTGTTTCTCTATGAGGAAAAACATCCTGTGAAGTGCATATATTAGGCCAAGTCCATAAATCATGATCAGTAGCATGTTGAAACTCTCCCCTTGTGGTCCACTGTTGGTTAGACATGGCACAGTTTCATGCTCCAGCTAATTCTTCAGTGTCCTTTTCAGTCTGCCAGGGTGTTCACCTCCAGAGGTTTTAGATTGAGAAACAGAAATTATTAGCCCCTCCCCTGGCAGGCCACCATACATTCTGATTAGCATGTTGGCTGTTAACACAGTTAACTCACCCATCATAAATGACCCCAACCCACTCGGGAAGTGAAGCTCATCTATCAGTGCCACGGAAGTTATTTAAAAGGAGAGGTTGATGCATTGTCATACGCTTCATCAGCTCCTTTGTGAAGGCATTAACCTTCATTTGTAGCAAAGCCAGTATGGCTTTTGACTTAACTATTGATTATCCCCAACCAAAGTGACAAAATACATATGCAGTCTACTGGGTAGAAAACAGTTTCTAAGGAGACTCATCTTTTCCTTTAACTCTACTTTTTAATTCTACAGATGGTTCTCAAGGCAGTCCACGGATCAGTTTCTTTTTTAATGGTAGGATTTATATTGTGACAAAGGGAAAAACTTCGAGACTGGCACTAGTCATAATCGAATTGAGGCTATAAAAATTAAGTATTACCTCATTGATCTTAAACACAACAACCAATCATGTTCCCTGGGGGTTGTGTGTGCATGAGGGTCATTATGAATATGTAGGATAGATGACTTACGAATTAAGGAAACTCTGATCCTTCACAGGGAGTAATAGTCCAAACAAATCTGAGTAGCAGAGTTACAGAAAAATAAATAAATGAAATGTGTCTTTGTGTGATAGTTGCCCTCCCCAAAATATCAATGTTTACCAGCAATTTTACAGAAGAAAATGTCCCTGATTTCTTTTTTTAAAAAACTGCTTTATTGAGGTATGACTGACATACAAAGAGCTGTAGATATTAAATGTACACAAAACTTACTGTGTTTGGAGATAAATATACACCCATGAAACCATCATCAATATAAATGACATAAACTCATCCATCACTTCCAAAAGTTTCCTCCCACCTCCTTTGCTTTTTGGGTTTTTTTTCATTTTTCCTTTTGTAGTAAACGCCCTTCATATAAGATCTACGCTCTTAGCAAATTTTTAAGTATATAATACAGTATTGTTCTTCATAGGCTTTATTTTGTACAGAGATCTCCAGAACTTACTTATTTTGCATAACTGAAACTTTGGCCAACACCTCCCCATTTTCCCCTTACCCTAGCCCCTGGCAATCACCATTTTACTCTCTACTTCTATGTGTTTAACTGTTTTAGATTCCACATATAAGTGAGATCATGCAGTATTTGTTTTTCTGTGTCTGACTTATTCCATTCAGCATCATGTCTTCCAGGTCCATCCATATTGTGGCATGTATCAGTGCTTTATTCCTTTTTATAAGTAAATAATATTCCATTGTATGTATATACCACCACTTTTTCTTTATCCGTTTGTCCATCCATGGATATTTGAGTTGTTTCCATATTTTGGCTGTTGTGAATAATGCTGCAATGGATATATTTGAATGCAGATATCTCTTCAAGATCTAGATGTCAATGTCTTTAGATATATACCCAGAAGTCCTTTCTATACCAACATATAATCTAACTGAGCTTCTCATAGACATTCCAAGAGATAATCCATAAGAATCTGGCCATTTTCCCATTTGTTTCTTCCTCTGGAGGGTTTTTTTTTTTTTTTTTAAATCAAGGTTTAGAGCAGCACTTCACAAAAGAATGTTCAAGGTTTTGAAGACCCTGGACTTCAGGATAGGTAAATTAGTCACAGGAGAAAGGGGTCACTAAAACAAGCAGCTAAAAGAAATAGAGACTGACAGTTACTATTAGAAGTAAATTGGAAAATTATCTGGTTGATGCTATTAGGATATAAGGAGTAAACAAACTCAAAAAAAAAAACAACTAATAGAATCGGTTTTAGTTCTGAGAACAGACCTAGTTTGCACTCTGTTCATCTTCAGTGTATGTGACTTCTATGCCCTAGTGTATAACTGGAGTTTAGCATATTTTGTGAAAATTGATGGATCTAGCAACCAACTATCTCATAAATTTGACAGAGGTACTGAGTGAATGAATCAAGTATTTACCATGTATGTCAGTGTTTAGAGATAACTGGGCCAAAAAAAAATCCATGATACTGCCCCTGCCCTCTAATAATTTGTTTCCTCACTAGTGAGATAAAACTTATACATGTGCGAAAATTAACAATAAAGATACTTAAGAAATATATTAAAATATATAACAATGAGGTATATAATGAAGTATTAAATTAGAGATGAGTGGTACATGGCAAAATTCCAGTGGTGCAAAAGGACTTGGAAGAGATCAGTGGATGATGTCATGGGAGATATGGAATGAAAATTAAGCAAACCAGGGAAAAACAGAAAAAAGGGGAGAAGAAATTCAAAGAAGGAGATAGGGGTATAGGCAAAAAGCACAGCTTTTTATTATTAGCAGGGAGATTTGTATTTTCTGACGCTTTGACACAAGTATCTTCTATAAAGGGAGAATTCTTTGCTTAACAGGCTTAATTATTCTTTTCAGCTTTAAGGAGATGGCACAGTGTGGCAAAACCGCAACAGCCAAACAAAAAGCTTGTGCTGAGGTTATTAAACAAGAATACCAAAAACTTGGACCAATAAAGTAAGTTACACACACACACACACACACACACACACAAGCAAGCAAGCAAACACACAGAGAGATGCTGCTTATACTGCAAGTATCTGTTTAAAGGCAAATATGTGCACAATTGTCTTAGTGTATTTATTACACTTGATAAGGGCCCTGAATGTTCTAACCTTTGTGACTATAACTCAACATGATAAAATACATACCTTGTCTAACTAAAACTTACCAGGTGGAAGGACAAGAAGCTGAAAGGCCCACAGAGGACTAAAGCCCCTTTCAAACTGCAGATTCTCTTAAATACTTGATACATCAAGTTTTGACAGTGCTTAGTGTTCTGCTAAGACTACTTCTGACAATAGTTCAGGGAGTTTCTACAAATGTCCTGACTGAGAAAAATAAATGAAAGGATTGGAATCTTCCCACAGGTATCAAGAAATTGTGACCTTAGTCCTCTTCATTGTAATGGCCCTGCTATGGTTCACCCGAGATCCTGGGTTTGTGTCTGGTTGGTCCGTGCTTTTTTCAGAGTAAGCATTACATGTTATGTTTGTCAACACTTCCTGTTTTATACTCAGCTTTTCTCCTAAGTGTTTCCTATAACTCTGAAAAACTGTATAAGATTTTTTTCTTCTTTTCCATCGAAAAGATTTAATTCTTATCTTTTCAGGAAAAAAAAAAAGATAAGGAATGAAATCTAGGGTAAGGCAGCAAACAAGGTAACCAAACTACCCTGTAACTAAAGATAAGTCTCCTTCAGACAAGGCTATTTTCATCTTTACAAAATTAGAAATATGATTGCAGGAAAGCCATGTTTTAAAATGGTCAGGAGTATAGACCTTGGAGCCACACTGCTTGGGTTCCATTCCTGGCTCTTCCACTTACTTTGGGCAAGTCACTTACCTCTCAGTTTCTCCACCTGTAAAATGGCGCTAATTAGAATAGTGCTGCGCTTCTCCCCACAGGAAGTGCAGTATAATTGTTTATTATGTGAACTCAATGCCACTCAGTGCTTCTTAGTAACCTGATATGAATTCATATTCTGTGATTTTTGCTGGCTTATTTTTTTTATTTCTATGGAGGGTTATTTATTTGGTTCATATTTTGTCTTTTCCTCTATTGATGTCCATTTTTGTGTTAGTCGCTATAAATCCATCCTGCCCCTATTTTATAAATAAGGAAATCCTGAGTAAGCAATAAGACTGAGTTTACAAACTAATGTTAGAAGCTGGGTCAGAGTTAATTTTATCTCTCAGTGTCTAATATCCCAGCAGACATTGCTGAGTCATGTGAAGTGAGGGGGAAGATTGTAGCATAATTTTCTAAATTAAGGACCATCCTACATGTCAATATAAATACTTTGGTTTTGAGATTCGCATTCCCAAATCTGTCTTTCACTGAAGTCCTCTGGATCCTAAATTCAGCAGATCTCTGATTTGAACTTCCTGTCTCACATCCCCCAGCAAAAATCCATGTAGTGGGGGTAGAAACCAAAAACATTTGAGTCAGATCTATTCTGCCCACATGGAATGAAGAAATTCTTGCATCGGAGCCTTCTGCTTATGTAGGCATTGCCAACATTTTTTTAAAGCTGCCAAGTCGGCGTCCCAATTCCTAGTGAGCACACAAGTGCAGCAATGCAGTGTGGTACATGTTTCAAAGGATCAGCTGCAGCTTTATAAACTTTTTATTTCCATTAGGACAAAAACGTTTCATCCCAAGAAGTCAAAACAAAAGGTAGTATCCAATCATTCAAAGCAAGCTATTCAAAGCAAACTATTATTTAATAGTTTCATTCGAACTTCATAGTTTGGGAATAGGACCTAGACCAACAGAAAAAATAATTCTTCCTCCTTTTAAAAATCCCACTCCTATTATTCTAGAGAGGGAGGGTCTTCTCTAAACACCAGTATGTAAAAACCAAATGAAATCAGGCAATGGGTAATAAAAACCAGGCAGAAATCCCAAGAGGAAATTCAATATAATCAGCTTCTAATTTCTACTCCTTATGGGAGGAAAATGTAATTCAGGAGATGGTTTTTTTTGTAGCAGGAAAACAAGGCGTACTTGCTTTGGGGAGGTGCTCATGATATCTAGAATTCTGAGAGAAAACAATAAGAAAAGAAACAAAGCTTTGAAAGAGGAAGGGATTTGAAGATATACATCTAATTGGCAATTAGATGTATAAATTGCCAAGGCAAATAAAATTTGCATAAGCTTAATATTTTGTAATACTGAGACAACCTTAGTTCATAATAAACCAAAATAAAATAAACTAATAATAAATAAAATGATAGTAGTTTTAAAAGTCTTTTAAAAAGCAGTTATTTCTGTACTTATGGCTTGATTTTATTTAAAGTATATATTCTGTAGAATACATTTGTAATGTAGAGGTTTTAGGCATTTAGAGTTTCCAAAGCTAGAATGATAAATCTAGATTTATAGCTACCACCTCATGTTTTCATTCCATCTGTTTGAACCTGGAAGGAATTCAATATGTCTTTTCATATAAAGCAAAATCAGATTACATGATGCCTGACCTAATTTGGCAAAAATTCAACCAAAATTATAACTGAAATAAGAGAAATAAGGAACAGTAAAATAATAAATATGGGTTAAGTTTGTTGAATAAATTACACCAAGGCAGCTTTTTACTCCACAATGAAATAAAGAAAATCTGTATTTGGGGAAAACAGACTGCTTTATAAAATTGTCAGATTGAATAAAATAATGCATTTCCTTGATTATGTAAATTGTTCAAATAAATTACAGGAATAAAGAGCCTCTATACTATGTATGCACTGCTGAGTTACAAGGTAGCAAAATAATTTTTAGGGTGTACATACTTCTTTTCAGACTACGAAGATTCACTAGTTAATACGCTAACTTCTAAACTGACTTCTAATTATTTATGCCTGTTTCATTCATATCTGGTCTCCAGGTACTTCTTAACTGTTGGGGCTTCTGGGAACCTGTTCTACTTGCTGGAATGGCCTGGTGATTCTAAGACCCCATCTGTTTCTGAATAACTCTTAATTTGTTCAGTGATCATTTATGAGTACCTCAAAGCCATTCTAATAATTAATATCCTTGACTGAGTTTCACAGGGTGCAAAGCATTAAATGGGTGATTTCATTTGTATGATATGGCCAGGGCCTATAAACACAGAAGCAGACGTTATATCTTAGAAAAACAGATCAATTCCTTTTCACAATTTACAGAAGAGTTTTAAAGGACACTCAAAACATCCATGCCGTGCCACAATTCAATAGTAGCCTTTTATAAATCAGTTATACAGGATTTGGCCTATTGTTTCAACCTCAATGCTTTGCCAATAAAATTAAAGGAATAATGCAAAGAAGTTATTTACCAGATCTGTCAGCTTTACCTAGAAGTGAACTCTTGGCCTAGTATATCAACATATGTATACGTGGTTTTGAAAATAAGGAGATATATATGAAAACAATGGGGATATGATCTGAGATTTTTCAGTCCCACTAAGTTACATATTTAGTTGGGAATTACAGACTTTAGAGCAGATTACCCAGAATAAATTACCAATACCACCACTTCTACTTGTACGCTATCAGCATAATCAGTTGGTGCTTAGTTCATACAAATTCTTGATGGCATTTTTTAATGCACACACATGTCTTTTTTTCAGGTACCCTGGTTTTGCTACAGATTCAACTGTTGCCTTACTTGTAGGACTCCTGTTCTTTCTTATCCCAGCTAAGAGATTGACCAAAACTATACCTACAGGAGAAACTGGTTGAGTATTATTTATAATTCTGAATGAATTTGACAGAAGAGCAAAAATACAAAATTCCCTTGGTTTCAGTTAACACGTAGAACAGAAGGAATGGACATGGACACAGCCCCTGGCTTACATCTCCTGTTTATACACTGCAACCCCTATTCAGACAGCACACATCCTCTCCTTATACGAAGGATTATCTTACTTTGCAGAAGCTAGACGTAGATTTCCTTATGCACCATGGTTATGTAGGATTCTGCTCTGGGTGATACTATTTGGATTTGGTCTGCCATGTACCCACTTCCCTGGTCATAATCGGAATTAATCTTACTATTGGCAAACGTAGGAAAAGGAACTTGGAAGTCATACTTCAAGATGAGCCCTTGGTAATAAATACTGAGGATCTAAAAAGGTGAGGAGTTTCAACGGGAAGAGTATTTACAGCCTCATAAGTAGCCTTGGAGAAAATGCAAATCAACCCCACACTTAGCCACAACCTAGTGCCACAGTTGAAAGAAACCACATTCAGTGGGAGCGTTCATTGTCTTTATAACACACAGACAAGAAAGTGTGTGTGTTTATGTGCGTATACCCATCCTGTCCCCAACACACACACACTTCTTAAACATAGGATCCATCCATGCCTGTGCTTTATACTAGCACAGAGTATTTTGGGTAGTCAGATTCATATGTTGTCAATATGGGAAAATGGTTTAAAATTGTTTGGAAATGGCCTAGCAGAGTTGTAGGTTTTTCATTCATCCTTTATCTATTTATCTATTTATTTATTTATTTTATTTTTTATTTATCTGCTGGGACGGAACTGGGAGTCATGCAGTTGGGTTGGCCCACCTGCCTCCTTGAGTCAGAATAGATAAATGACTAATGGGTCACATTTCCAGGACATGATATATGTAAACAGTATAGTGTAGAAATACATGCCTTTTGTTCTTCACTTGAGACTAGAATATCTCAAATGTGTTATAAGGAGGTGTTGTAATATAGAGCAATGATTCCTGTGAGACCCTGAGGACTCTGACCATTGCAGTCAAAGCCCTAAGGCCTTGCAGTGGCAAGTGCTATGCTTGGCTTAACTCCTCTGGCTCCCACATCTGAGTCCCCTTCTCAGAAAGAGCCTTGCCCTACCCACCATCCTCTCCCTTCTCATTCTGCAGCTCCTCTTCTCCCTGATAAACTCATTCACACTAGGTTTTAAAATGCCAAATAAGACATAAAATATTCAGTTTTAGATGAGAGGTACATTCAGAGATGATTGCATTTTGACAGGATATATGGCTTTAATTCAAGCAGGAAATAGCAAAATTTCCATCAACAGTGAGGGTAGGTTTGGTTTAGGTTTGGGATAAGGAGACAGGAAGGGGACTTATTAGTAACCTTAAAACCTCACCATGTAGAAGTTTGCCTGTTACACACAAATGTTAAATGGGCATAATGTGTTCATGGATTATGGTATTTCTAAGCAAATCAATGGAGCTATCAGGACCCAAATATCAAGAGAAATCCTTATGATTATTGCTTTATGAGCATTTTAAGGGTCTCATGAATAATACATAAATTTTAAAATCTGAACTTCAAATTATTTTAAACAGAAATCCTGGTGAATCTATCATGACCCTCCTCATGATTTGAAAAACAATAAAATATTCAAATAGATATAAGTGAATAATAATTATAATGTTCTACTGATGCTGTTGAACCAATGACGTATTACAGACATTTCACATAGCAAAGGACAGTATAGCCCAATGCACTTGTGACTCATAGTAGGCAAAGATGTTAGTGGAATGAATGAATAAATGAATGAATGAATAGTATTATATATGACAGTGTTATTTATCTAAATTTATTCTATAATAAAATAGGATTTTTACAAGTTATGGATTTTTTTCTTTTTTTATAATATAATGTTCTGCCTAGGCCAGGTGGAAATTACTCAAAGTCCAGATCAAGTTTCCTATCTAAGAACAATACAAGAATATTAAAAACTTCTTGTGAGATGGCTACTTAGGATAACAAGCAATGTCATATTGTCATATTTTAAGCAATGTGTAACCGTAGGACTTTTGTTTTTCAGTTGCTTTTGATTACTCTCCACTGATTACTTGGAAAGAATTCCAGTCATTCATGCCCTGGGATATAGCCATTCTTGTTGGTGGAGGGTTTGCCTTGGCAGATGGCTGTGAGGTAATACTCTGTGTCTAAGATAGTTAGCAATTAACTAGACTGTTCAAAAGAAGAACGCAAAGACAGTCAAGCTTTTGGAATGCTCGACTTCATCCTTTCATTGTAATGATGCAGATTTCAGTAGCCATGCAGTAACTGTACCACACAGATGAGGTAAGTTCAGAGTTCAAGAATCTTTATAAGCATAAAACATCATTGTTTATGATGTCCCAGCATATCAAAAGAAAAAAAGAAAATTAGAATTCTTAATCCATGAAATAATATTAGAAGACCAGCTTAATAAGAAAAATATGTTATATAAAAATCATATGTACATATTTTTTTTTGTTTATACCTTCACCTTATTTGATGATGAATTTAAGTTGCTCTCAGATGTCTCTGCAGTATATCATGGTCCTAATGTTGCCAAAGAAGCATGAGAAACAACAGTACTTTATTATATTATTTATTACATATCATATTAAATACATTAAAGGTACTTAATACATGCTTATTGAATGAAGTCCAGAAAGAATTTCACATAGCCATGTTTAATATTGTATTATGTCTAATTGTAGGAAGAAACAAAACCGTCATGAGAAATAAAGTTGGCTATTTCTTTGGCCTGTCATCTATGCAGTTGATATAAAGTAGAAGTCTGGGGAAGCCTCTGTCCCTTGAAATTGCCCTAGTCATTATAGGGTTGCTAGAAGAAAAGTATCTTCTCCAGAAATTCCATGAAAATCCTCTCCTCTTTAACTAATTATTCGGGACTTAGTAGCCTTCTGTGAAACACTCAAAACTCATGGACATTCCATTTCCTTATTCAGTCATCAAAGTAAAAATGATGGTGAGAGAGATATCATGTCAAGCCCTTCAGTTTCTGAAAAGTTATATTTTTATACTTTTCAAGACAAATAACTATCTGTTCTGTTCTATTCTTGACAGTCTAAGGGAAGACTGGTTTTTACTTCTGACTTTATTGTCAATTCTTCTGTATGATATTTGGATACTGAGTTTTCAGCAATTTAGTAATAGGTGAAAGTCTTAGAAATTGTCTCAGTTCTGAGTGCCCCTTACAATGTCGTTTTAGGTCTAGATTTGGCTTGCCTCATAGACTGTTCAAATATAAATGATAGAAATAGAAAACAAATACACTTTTCTACTAGCTCAGTAGTAATGAGATCAGGTTTCTCAGAATAAATAACTTCTATTCCTGTGTCTGCTAATTTGAATTGTGAGGAAATCAGAATCAGCAATTCTAGCATTGACGTGAATTTGTTCATCTCTCCTTCCTAGAATATCTGTCACTCAAAGTGATTGGCCAGACCCTAGAATAGCAAAATTGAAGGAAATGAAAAGGTGTGGACTTAGTCTGATGCACTAGGCTCTCTCACTGGAAGAATGAGGGAAAGCATGGAGGGACTCTGCTGTGAAAATCCTAGTACAAAGAATCAGGTTTCTGTGGGATACCCCAAATCACCCTATTTCTATAGCTGTGGACAACTATTCCACTAGAAACTGGTTTTACAAAGATTTGGAGACAGTTCCTTTTTAAAAATTTTGTTCCAAACTGTAATTAGTTTGGCGAATGCCTAGAACTAGATAACCTTTCTAGTCGGGAACTGTGAGATTGCAGCTCTTAAAGCTTTCACCTCATTTCTATTTCCTCTCTCTTAAATGCCCCTTGATTTTGGTTCAACATGATTGAACTCTCACGAACTGACAGTCACCTTCAAAATCTTATCAGTGAACAACTCCTCCTCTCCCATTTTCACACATTCCTCAAAATTTTTCTATTAAGTTAAATATGGAGGACTTAACACTTTGACTCAGGTCTCCACTAAAATGGAAATAGCACAACAAAAAAGTATCAATCTCTAAAGACAAAGAATAAATGGCAGGAACAATAACATACAAGAGATACTGATAAAATTTAGAAGATGGAAGAAGATATATGAGGGGTCAATGACTTTGTACAGTAAAGAATTAGAAAAAGATTCAATCTACAGCCTGCAAAAAAAAAGCCAAGAAGAAACAAACATGCATCCACAAGATTCTGGAAGAGTTTAGGAATTGGAAGCAGCAGATTAACTGAAAGCTAGAGAAAAAACCAGCACTAAAAATGGAAGATTGTTTAAAAAGTCTGTAAGGAGGTGTGAGCCTCCAGACACTCCCTCCAGCCCTGAACAGAGAGACAACTGCCCTCTCTCCTCCCTGGTAGAAAATTTAGATTTACTCTGTAAAAAATCGAGTCATTGAGACACTGGCTTACAGATCAGTCACCTATAGTAATGTCTTCCTCTCAACAATCTTCACTTAGACACAAAGAGCTTCCAATTGTGATTTTTTCGCCTCCCTTTAAAACATAAATAGGTAGTCCAGGATTACCAGACAGTGGGGAAAGCCTCTGATACAACAACCAGTAACAAAAAATAAGCAAAAAGAGAAAGAATACCAAAAAGACAAGGAAAATGTGTAAAGTAAAAGAAAACTTCCAAAATTTTTCATTGATGCTTCAAAGAGATATCAGAAACATTAAAGTCATGAAAGTAAAACAATGTAATTTTTTTTTTTTTTTGGAAAAATTCTGTGAACATAGGCTATTTTATTTCCACAGGGGATGCATTGGAAACTTTTTTTTTAATTTAATATAATTTAATTTTTTTATACAGAGGGTTCTTATTAGTTATCTATTCTATGCATATTGGTGTATATATGTCAATCCCAATCTCCCAATTCATCCTACCACCACCACCCCCCCACGAGAATGTAATTTTTTTTTAATGGACTAGATAGAAAATAAGAAAGAGCCACTGAAAATAAGAAATAGAACAACAGGAATTTTAAAATTCAGTAGCAGGGTTAGAAATTGAAGTTTGAACTTATCCCAGAAAATAGAACAAAAAGATGAAGAGAAAATAATATTATTAAAAAACGATAAGAAAATTAGAGTATCAATCCAACAGCTGATCAATAATAGCGTCAGAAAGAGAAGGGGAAAAAAAGAAGAAAGAAAATAGAAATAGAAGGCCACTTCCAAAAAATAACACAAGAAATTTCATGGAACCGAGGACTTAGAGATTCTGGACAGAGAGAGCTACTGAGAACCCAGTACCAAACCACCTCATGTAGGATTTTGATATGATCCCAGTGGCTTCCAGAGACAAGGGACAATATGTGGTGTAATCTTTTCCAGCTGTATCTAATCAGGTGTAGATAAAATCCATTCTTAAAATATATTTAAAGATGAATTTGTGCCAATGTGATTTAAATGGTAAATAGTCTTTTTCCATCTAAAAAACAAAACCCAGGGAATTCCCTGGTGGTCCAGTGGTTGGGACTCTGCGCTTCCACTGCAGGGGGCACAGGTTCCATCCCTGGTCAGGGAACTAAGATCCCACATGCCTCGCGGTATGGCCAAAAAAATAAATAAATAAAAATAAAATAATAAAAAATAAAAACCCAAAACAAACAAAAAAGTAAGTCAGAACTGCAAATAATATACATAATATCTGGCTATCACATCTGGCGATGTTTTTGTCAACTTCTGATCTGAGGGTATACTGCTTGTAATTAGAGCATTTCTGATGTCCATCCTACTTTGTCATGAGCATACAGATTCACACATGCAGCAGCTCACTGAAATCTCACAAATGGAGGATTTTCCCTTCCATTTGACTATTAATTTGACTGTGGCAGATTTTTCTGTATTATGTACAATGAATCCAAGATCAGAATATTATCTGGCTTCTAAAGAACCCAACTGGAAGCCACAGGAAGTGGAGCAATAATTATTTGGAGTGGTAATTTTTTCAAGTCTAGAATTCTACAAAAGCTAAATATCAAAGCAATGTGAAAAGAAAAGAAAGAGGTTTTCAGACATGCAAAGACTAAAAAAATTTACTTCCCATGCACCAATTAACAGGAAGCTACAGAAGATGTGGTCCTGTGGCCCACCAACACAAAGAAGTTAGCAAGAAAGGATTCCCACATCAGAGAGAGATGAAGGGAATCCACAGTATGCTAGTGAAGAGAAGTCTCTTTATAACAGTAAAGTAGATCTAAAGAGCAACTAGTCCCAATGGAGCAGAAAAAGGGAATACTACAAAATTGATACCTCCATTAGGGAAAATGAAAAAGGACAATTACCTGAAATTTTTATCTACTTGTGAGGCGTTTTCCATTTTTACTGGAGAGTGTACTGGAGAATTAGTGATAGATACTTAGAAAACTAAGCAAACAAAAGAGTAGGGAGGGCTTCCCTGGTGGCGCAGTGGTTGAGAGTCCACCTGCCAATGCAGGGGACACAGGTTCATGCCCCGGTCCGGGAAGATCCCACATGCTGCGGAGCGGCTGGGCCCGTGAGCCATGGCCGCTGAGCCTGCGCGTCCGGAGCCTGTGCTCCGCAACGGGAGAGGCCACAACAGTGAGAGGCCCACGTACAGGAAAAAAAAAAAAAAAAAAAAAAGCATAGGGAAATTATTTCCTGGAAAAACAAACAAACAAAAAGTAAAACAAAAAAGTGAAAGCAATCACAGTACACTAAGTGGCTCAGTTGTGAACGATATCCATATAATCATAATGGCAAACTTTAAATATTGATTTAACCAAAAATGTTGACATATGAGTGAGTGTAAGGGAATGGAGGGTGGGGACAGGAAATATATGTATGGTGGAAGGTGTTAGAAAGCTGAATTCTATGTATGGTGGAAGGTGTTAGAAAGCTGAATTCTTATGCACGTATTAGGAAATCAGTAAATAATGTCTACATTTGAAAATTTAGAAATATGAAAAAGTAGAATTTTGTAAAATAGCTATCAACACATAAACATGGTTATAAATAGCTAATATGGATGAAAGTTGTTGCCTCTGGGGAACACAGATGTGGACAGAGGTAGACCAGAAAGGCTGCTCTTTTCTTAAAGCCCTATAGTACTACATGGCTTGTTATACCCACATATATTAATTAGATATAATTAAAATTTAATTGAAAAGATGTGGGAAGACAATTCAAACTTCCTAAAGTTTGGTATATTAAAATGAGAATAATTGAGAACTTTTCCATGCCAAACCCACCTAGATCTAACAAACCACAGAAAAACATGAAAGATTAAAATTATACTTTAGAAACTGAGTTCTTAGATCAAATAATGCTTTTTAATATATTTAAATGTCTGATTAAATGACTTATTAATGAATACTAAATATCGCAAATTTGTTTTTTTAGGAGTCAGGACTATCTAAATGGATAGGAAATAAATTATCTCCTCTAGGTTCATTACCAGTCTGGCTAATAATTCTGATATCTTCTTTGCTCGTCACATCTTTAACAGAGGTAGCCAGCAATCCAGCTACCATTACCCTCCTTCTTCCAATACTGTCTCCATTGGTGAGTATCTCATTTATCCTATTTACACTATTCATTGAAAGAATAGTGTTCTACTTTGTGTGTTCTCATATTGCAGTGTGGAATCATTTGGGTCCTGAATGGTCCCCCTGTAGGTAACTTACAGAGTCGTCCTTATTTGCATTCATACTTTCTTAGGAGACCTCAACTCAGGAGAACTCTTTTCTTCCATGTTCAAGCAGCATGATCTTAAGTGAACCCTCTACCTTCTTTCTACCCATATTCTTCATTTGCAGATAAACAGGAGGGTCAGCCCAGATCCTTTCCAGCTCTAGAAGACTTTGCGATTCAGTGCTTCCTGGCAACTTTAGTATTTAGATCTCTAACACTGATACTTCTCCCTCCAGAAGATGTCTTGAATTTTTGAGAAGTGCTTCATATAAGTGATTTGCAAGGGAATAAAAAGCTATGTTTACACTTCAGGCTTCAAGCTTAAATGTCTTAGATGCAGTTCTCTACGGCCCAGGGAAGAATTTAAAAAGATAAGTAAGAAGCAGATTTGCAAGGAGAGAGAGGGAAGACTGTCTCTCTTCCTCTCCATCACTAGCTGGCAATTACAAGAAACAGCTTCAAGTAAAATGTTTTCCTTATTGGGACAGATGAGTTTGGTGAAAGGAAAGCACTTTGGATGAAGAAGAATTGCCCTTCTGGAAGTGTTCTGCTACCAGCTCAAGGGGCAAATGTTGGCATTCTTGAGCTGCTTCAAATTAGAAAAGAAATGTAGGCAGGTTATGTTGGTAAAATACAATTTTGGGTTTTTTCTGGTTTTTATTTCTCAACATGGAGCAGTTAAAAAATCATGTGATAAATTAAGAATAGTAGTAACTCTTCTGTGATGATTCCTAAGAAAATTTTAAATTACATATGTCACAGAGGTAGTAAAGTTAATGAAATGATGAGAAGCTTTGGAGCCAGAGGGACCTGAGAACTCTGTAAGCTCTACTGCTTGCCAGCTATGTGTTTGGATCAGTTACTTTAACGTTTATGGACCTCAGTTTCTTCATCTGCTATTTGGGACTACAGTTATGATCTTTTAAGGTCGTAGTGAAATTTAAATTATATATATATAAATATACAATGTTATTATGTTATACATTATATATATGTTAAATTTTACATATATCTTATATATATTATATATATAACATATATATATATATATATATATATACACTTAGCACAGCACTTAGCGCTAGATCAGTAATAAACAGCTGCTGTTTTAATTTTGTTTCTGGAATAAATGATACTTTATTTTCTAAATGAACTGAGCTATAATGCTTAAATGGACGCCAATCACCATATAAACAATGATAAGAGGAAGATACGTTTTCTAAAAATTATTCTTCCAGTTATAACTGCATTTATGTATATATACTTTTATGTCTTTATATATCAATCTGCTTCTGGGAAAGTTTATTATAATAATTTTGCTCATTTTGATGCCTATCTCAAAATTTTACTTAGACTCCTTTTTATCTTTTCCAACAGGCTGAAGCCATTCAAGTCAACCCTCTTTATATTTTGTTACCTTCTACTCTGTGTAATTCATTTGCATTCCTCCTACCAGTAGCAAATCCACCCAATGCTATTGTTTTTTCGTATGGCCATCTAAAAGTTACTGACATGGTGAGTGAGCTGAAAGAATGCTATCAAGACCAATAGACATTATTTTGTGATATCTTGGGTTGTCTATCCTTTTATACGCTAGTCAACTGCTAGGAAATGCATAGCCTGAGTACTACTTCTGAAGGTGAGTTCATGACTGGCCATAGAATTGTTTTTAAGAGTGATACTGGCCATAGAATTGTTTTTAAGAGTGATAACCAGAAGCAAACATGCCATTGATATTTACAGTCACAAATACAGAGATATTGAATGCATCAGTAATACGCTGGCAGAGGACGAGAGCAAACAATATGCTCAACACAATGGCTTAAGCTTACATGTCAAGATCAGGACCCAACTTGACCTAAGCAAAAGGGTTAATGAAATTCAGCAATCAAGCACTGTGGTTTACTATCATGAATATTTACAGAACTGACATTTGCTCTGAATAAGATGTTGGGCTCAGTGCTTGACTGGTGAAAAGTCATCTTTCTTTTTCTGATTCTAATAGTGGCACCTGAAATAAAATGAAATGAAATGAAGTGAAATGAAATGAAATTAGCACAAGCAAGTAATAATAGAAACTTTAAGTGACAAAACGTGCACATTTTGCCAATTACAAAAGTTGTGGTAGAGAAGGACTAGCTTGAGAATATCCTGCTCTTCTCTCAATCTTGATCACCAGCTTCTGGAACAAACCAAGCAAGACTATAACTAAAGGCAATTCAGTGAGTTTGCTGTGCAAATGCAGTTCCAAGTTAAGCCCCAGGTTCTTTTCTTCCAGACAGATTGCTGTCCCTAAACCCCTGTAACATAAAAATTCTGGAAATGCCTCTATGCAGAAGTCGTATAATCTCCTTTGGATGAAGAAAATGAGCATAATATACAATATAAACTGTGCTAGGTATGTGAATGTTAAAAAAAACCAGGATTCTAAAATAAACGAGAGACTTGCATGGACAGAACAGGAGGCCTCTATAACGTTTATTTTGCCTTGGGGCTCCATGTTTTAATACAGAGAATGCAGAGATAAGCAAGCTTTCTCTGTAAAGAGCCAGAGAGTAAATATTTGAGACTCTGTGGGTTATATGGTCTCTGTCACAACTACTGAATCATGAAAGCAGCCAACAACAACATGTAAACAAATGGGCAGAATTGTGGTCCCGCAAAACTTTCTTTACAAAAACAGTTTATGGGCAGTAGTCTGCCAACCTCTGTCTTAATAGCTAGAAAGCAATTTGAGATTGTTTAGTGCCACCAGAATAATGACGTCAGACCTAGAAAAATGGGAACTCTAAGAAAGATGAATGGAAGAGGTATTAAATCTCAATAAGAGAATACTGAAGGCTAAACTAAAAATAATATGGAGTGAATATGAAGGATTCAGTTTTCATATAGTGACCTGAACCTTATTTTCACTGAAATACAAAACCGCAAAACTCAAATCCTGATTTGACATGAAACGGCAGATTTTTAAAGGGATTTTTCTCTAATCAGAATGACTTCAGTATATTCCTAAGAGGAACCTCTCTGAGACTCTCAACCTAAATGGCATTTAGTTGGGAACAGATTCTTTTTTGACATGAATGGAAGGACTCCTTGTCTTATGAAACCAATCATTGATACTAATCATTTAGGATGCATGTAAATCTGACATATGCCTTCTTCAACAGTATTCCAATTCTCCCATAGGTTGTTTTTGGGTTTTTTTGTTTGTTTGTTTGTTTTTGAGACTGACATTCATGTTCTTTCGTATTCAAGGTTAAAGCTGGACTTGGCGTTAATATTGTGGGTGTTGCTGTCGTGATGCTTGGCATGTTTACCTGGATTGTACCCATGTTTGACCTCCACACTTACCCTTCCTGGGCTCCTGCAGTTAGTAATGAGACCATGCCATGACAAGCATGAATGCTCTGACTATCCTGTGGTGGGTTTTGGGAACCACTAAGAATTCACTACAAAATTTGGCTCTAGAAAACTGATGACACTTAAATTAGTCCTGGTGTAGCTGCTGTAAAACACCCCAAACCTGCTTTGAGATGCAACCAAGACCATCTATGTGCCTTCATGAAGAAGCCCTCAGTTGAGATTTTGCTCATGGACCATATGCATCCTGCTTCATCATAAGAATAATTTATAACTTGACCTTCAAGAGATTAGGTCATTTGCTTCATCTTACACTTTGGGTTCAGTGTAACATTTCAAATGTCAATTTGTTATTTCAGAAACTTTCCGTGAAGGTAGAAATAGAAAATAAAATATACAAGTTTATTAGCTACTTGTATAAATCATTTCTGTAGTGTCCAAGGGAATTTTCTGAAAAATCAAAGCTGTGGTCATCTGGTAGTGCAAAAGAAAAGTTTAATCTAAGTAAAATATACATTCCCTCATTTAAAAAATATTCCAATCAGATTACTCTTGAAATATCCATATAGTATAAAAATTGAAAGTTAAGGGCTTCCCTGGTGGCGCAGTGGTTGAGAGTCCGCCTGCCGATGCAGGGGACACGGGTTCGTGCCCCGGTCCGGGAAGATCCCACATGCCGCGGAGCGGCTGGGCCCGTGAGCCATGGCCACTGAGCCTGCGCGTCCAGAGCCTGTGCTCCGCAATGGGAGAAGCCAAAACAGTGAGAGGCCCGCGTAATGCAAAAAAAAAAAAAGATGATTTAATAGTGCCCTCTGTCTCTCAAGTATTGTTCTGAATTCCTACAAAAGTACAAGAATTCTTGGAAGAGTTGGAAAACCAGCTATTTCCCCTTATTCAGAGGTTAGAATTAGCTGTGGGCTGATTCAGCCCATTGTATCAATACAAAGCTTAATTCCAAAGCAAGACCTTGTGAGAGGTTCTAGAATTTCTTCATGAAATTGCATCACTGTAATATATATTCCTATCCCTCTTAGGAAAAAATATTAAAATCAACCATGCTCTTCTGGAAAAGACCATTTAGTCCACATTTTCACTTTTTGGATAAATATGAGATCATAAAGATCTGATATGAAAAGCTCATTCATTAATCAGTTGATTTTAAGGAAGATATACCAGGCTGATGTTTTGATTGTATGAGCAGAGTTGTGGAAGGCTGAGGGTGGGGAAGTAAGGTGAAGAGAGACTTAATTAAAGAGTGCAGTTGGAAGATTTTTGTACAATCTTATCAAAATATTATTAAAATGCCTTTGTATTTAGGTTAAATGCCAGAGTACACTTGTCTAATTTAAGATTAGAAAAGTAAAGAATAAGAGTTAAACTAATTCAAACAGATACATGCACCACTATGTTCTTTGCAGCATTATTTACAATAATCACAATATGGAAGCAACATAAATACCCATTGACAAGTGAATGTATACACATATGTACATACGTATGATGAAATTCTACTCAGCCATTAAAAGAGAATGAAATCTTGCCATCTGTGACAACATGGATGGAAAATGAGGGTATCATGTGAAGTGAAATAAGTCAGATGGAGAAAACCAAATATACTGTATGATCTTGCTCATATTTAGAATATAAAAACCGAACAACACAAAATGAATTGAAAAACAAAAACCAAACCAAAAAAACACAAATGTACAGAGAACACAGTAGTGATTACCAGAGGGGAAGAGGCAGGAGCAAAAGGAGTAAAGGAAGTCAACTGTATGGTGATGGATGGAAACTAAATTTTTGGTGGTGAGCACACCGTAGTGTATACAGAAGTCAAAATACAATGTTGTACACATGAAACTTATGTCATGATATAATGTTATAAACCAATGTCACCTCAATTTAAATCTTTTTTTTCAATAAGGTAATGTAATAAAGAAAAACCAGTTAAGAGCCTGGTTTTGGAGTAAGAAATACCAGAGCTTGAATATTACCATTTTCTAGTTGCATTATTTTGGCCCCATTATTTAACTCTTTAAGTTTTCCTGACTGTAAAAGATCATAATAATAGTACTTAACTATTAGGATTATAAGATATAATGCATATATTTAGTTTTTAGGAAGCTCTTTTAAATAAAGAGTCCTTACAATTTTAGTATTGTTCATAAAATGAGTTTTGCCTATATTAATAACTGCTTTTACTCAAGAGAAGGGTTAGGGATTCAAATACTTTTTTGAATCCTCTTGATAATTTCTGTTAATCTGTTTATTCCTAAACTTTTCTCTGGACTTCCTCCCAAGAAGGATTTCAATTGGATTATAGCTATTAAAATAAAAGAGGCAAATTTTAAAAGAAAACAGAGGAAGAAAGAGCATAGAGAAAATAAATGTGGGAAAATCAGTCTAAGCTAAATATATTACACTACATTTATGATACTCTCCATATTGTCATATGCCTTTCTACCTTGGTGATATAGAAGATCCCATCGTTAATGATATTATTATAATAATTAAGCTCCTGAACTGTTTCTTAGAATGTCCTATAATAAAAGCCCATAGAATAATGACAAAACATCATTTATGAAAGCAGGTCTTGTTATGAGCTGGGGTGGAGGAGAGCAGTAGGGGAGGTGAGTTGATATGTGGTAAGGGTAGAGTGGGGGAGAAATGCCACAATTCTGTTTCAGGTGTCTGATATCTGACAGGTTTGACTCTGAATGTTTTATCTAGAGAATGAACATCATAGTCTTAGGAATATACTCCATGTATATCAATCCTTTTTATCTATTTTTAATTTTTAATTAGGAAACACTCCAAACATAAAGAAAGGTACAGAACATAATATTAACAACACCAGTGTATTCACCATCCCATGGACCCATTGTGCAAATTTTAAAACTTAATAAATTAATTAAGAAATAATTTTAAATTAATAGTTTTAAGTATCTGTTCCATATATTTTCCCAAAAGAAATAAACAACTAAACCCTCCCAACTCATTACTGCCCCCAGAGGTAATCACAACCCTCAATTTGGTATGTATCATCCCATCTATGCATGATTTCATACTTTTCCTACATTTGTATGTATGTAAAAGCAATTTATAATACTGTGTTTAGACTGTTTTAAAAGTTTTAGACTCCCTCTTGAGAGAACACCAGAACATCACAACTAGCTGCTGGACAATCATCAACAGGAAGACACTTGAACTCACCAAAAAAGATACCCCAAATCCAAAGACAAAGGAGAAGCCACAATGAGACAGTAGGAGGAGCACAATCACAGTAAAATCAAATCCCATAACTGCTGGGTGGGTGACTCACAGACTGGAGAACACTTACACCACAGAAGTCCACCCACTGGAGTGAAGGTTCTGAGCCCCACATCAGGCTTCCAAACCTGGTCCGGCAACGGGAGGAGGAATTCCTAGAGAATCAGAATTGAAGGCTAGCAGGATCTGACTGCAGGACTTCAACAGGACTGGGGGAAACAGAGACTCCACTCTTGGAGGGCACACACAAAGTAGCGTGCACATCAGGACACAGGGGAAGGAGCAGTGGCCCCAGGGGAGACTGAACCAGACCTACCTGCTAGTGTTGGAGGGTCTCCTGCAGAGGCAGGGGGTGGCTGTGGCTCACCGTGAGGACAAGGACACTGGCAACAGAGGTTCTGGGGGTGCTCCTTTGTGTGGGCGCTCCCAGAGTCTGCCACTGGCCCCACCAGGGAGTCTGAGTGGGCTCCAGTGTTGGGTTGCCTCAGGCCAAACAACCAACAGGGAGGGAACCCAGCCCCACCCATCAGCAGTCAAGCGGATTAAAGTTTTCCTGAGCTCTGCCCACCAGAGCAACAGTCAGCTACACCCACCACCAGTCTCTCCCATCAGGAAACTTGCACAAGCCTCTTAGATAGCCTCATCCATCAGAGGGAAGACAGCAGAAGCAAGAAGAACTACAATCCTGCACCCTGTGGAACAAAAACCACATTGACAGAAAGACACAAAAGATGAAGAGGCTATGCACCAGATGAAGGAACAAGATAAAACCCCAGAAAAACAACTAAATGAAGTGGATATAGGCAACTTTCCAGAAAAAGAATTCAGAATAATGATAGTGAAGATGATCCAGGACCTCAGAAAAAGAATGGACGCAAAGATCGAGAAGATGCAAGAAATGTTTAACAAAGACCTACAATAATTAAAAAACAAACAAAGATAAACAATACAATAACTAAAATGAAAACTACACTAGAAGGAATCAATAGCAGAATAACTGAGGCAGAAAAACGGATAAGTGACCTGGAAGACAGAATGGTGGAATTCATAGCTGCAGAACAGAACAAAGAAAAAAGAATGAAAAGAAATGAAGACAGCCTAAGAGATTTCTGGGACGATATTAAACGCAACAACATTCGCATTATAGGAGTCCCAGAAGGAGAAAAGAGAGAGAAAGGACCAGAGAAAATATTTGAAGAGATTATAGTCGAAAACTTTCCTAACATGGGAAAGGAAATAGCCACCCAAGTCCAGGAAGTGCAGAGAGTCCCATACAGGATAAACATAAGGAGAAACACACCAAGACACATAGTACCAAATTTGCAAAAATTAAAGACAAAGAAAAATTATGGAAAGAAGCAAGGGAAAAACGACAAATAACATACAAGGGAGCTCCCATAAGGTTAACAGCTGATTTCTCAGCAGAAACTCTACAAGCCAGAAGGGAGTGGCATGATATACTTAAAGTGATGAAAGGGAAGAAGCTACAACCAAGATTACTCTACCAGGCAAGGATCTCATTCAGATTCGATGGAGAAATCAAAAGCTTTACAAACAAGCAAAAGCTAAGAGAATTCAGCACCACGAAACCAGCTCTACAACAAATGCTAAAGGAACTTCTCTAAGTGGGAAACACAAGAGAAGAAAAGGACCTACAAAAACAAACCGAAAACAATGAAGAAAATGGTCATAGGAACATACATATCGATAATTACTGTAAACGTGAATGGATTAAATGTTCCAACCAAACGACACAGGCTTGCTGAATGGATACAAAAACAAGACCCATATATATGCTGTCTACAAAAGACCCACTTCAGACGTAGGGACACATACAGACTGAAAGTGAGGGGATGGAAAAAGATATTCCGTGCAAATGGAAATCAAAAGAAAGCTGGAGTAGCAATACTCATATCAGATAAAACAGACTTTAAAATAAAGACTGTTAGAAGAGACAGGGAAGGACACTACATAATGATCAAGGGATCAATCCAAGAAGAAGATATAAAATATATGCACCCAACATAGGAGCACCTCAATACTTAAGGCAACTGCTAATAGCTATACAAGAGGAAATCGACAGTAACACAATAATAGTAGGGGACTTTAACACCTCACTTACACCAATGGACAGGTCATCCAAAATGAAAATAAATAAGGAAACAGAAGCTTTAAATGACACAATAGACCAGGTAGATTTAATTGATATTTATAGGACATTCCATCCAAAAACAACAGATTACACTTTCTTCTCAAGTGCTCACAGAACAGTCTCCAGGATAGATCACATCTTGGGTCACAAATCAAGCCTCAGTAAATTTAAGAAAACTGAAATCATATCAAACAACTTTTCTGACCACAATGCTATGAGATTAGAAATCAATTACAGGGAAAATAACATAAA